CCTGAACCCCGGCAACGTAGGGCCGCCCCCGGGACCGCCGAATTTCGATTCCCCAACTGTTTGGAAACGGACTGAAAACAAACCGGGTCGACCAGGGGTCACCACGGGCTTCCGGTTTCCTCGAAGACACCGCTGCTGGCCCCGAAAAGGTGGCGGCTCGGGGCCCACCGCGCAGGGATTCCCATCTCGTCGGCCACGGCCTCGGCAGCGGCGCGGCACAACCCTCCGCCGGCCAGCGCGGAGCTCAGGGAGGAGGGGCGGGCCGAGGCGCTCGGCAGGCCCGTCTCCCGGCAACGCGAGCCCTCGGGGTCCCCGCCCGCCCGCAGCGTCAGGGCCGGCGCGGGGCGGAGAGGCGCTGTAGAGCCGGGCCGTGGAGGTTGGGCCGGCACCTGGGGCCTCCGAGTGAGGACCACCGTCCGCGGGCGGCCGCCGGGACTGCGCGAGGAAACCGGAAGTCGGGCCGAGGCGCGGGCGGGGCTCCCAGGGAGGGGCTGGCGCGGACTACGCATCCCGTGAGCCTCTGCGACGGGGCGGGGCGCGCCGGCGGCAACGTGCGAAGGCGGAGAGGCGCCGGGTAAGAGCGATTGGGGAGCGGAGGCTGCAGGGCCGGGGCCGCCTCAGGGGCGCCCTCTAGCGCGTTCTTGTCGCTCGGCGCGGGCCGCCTAGGCTGAGCCGCTCGGTGCGCTCCCCTGGGTGGTAAGCGGGCTGCGGACTTCCGGTGTTGGAAACCCTCAGGCGCTCGCTCCCACGCCGACCTGAGGGTTTGCTGAGGCCCCGGTCGTGGCCACGGACGGGCGCGGGCCGCAGAGGACGCTGGGCTGTGGGTGGGAGGACGCGGGAGGGCACGGAGCCGTGGACGGTGCCCTTTGCCCTGGAGTTGCCACCGCCTGAGGGTACTTCTAGGCGGTACTGTCTTGGGCTGTGGAGTCACGGATTGATTACAGTCCTGTGGTTGTGGTTGCACAGAGAGGACACTCGGAACCTGTGGGGAATTTTTGGTTAAACAACAACAAAGACACAACACTAACTAGAAAGTGTGTGCGCTTTCATTGCCAGTTAGCAACGCTTGCCACCGCACCTTCCCTCCTTAAGTGTTATTTTGTCGCGTCAAATCCTACATTTTTTTTAGTGTTCTGTTGAAGGATTTTTTTTGCATGTACCTTAATAAATAAGCCCGACGGTCAGCTCAATGGCGTGGTTCAATCTGAGGGTTTACTTCAAAATACGTTCTTATTGTTTAAAGTCTCTTTGTGGTGTAAAACTTCACAGTTGTTAAGAAGACCACATCTTAAAGATAGATACTTTAGAAAAAAAAAATTAAGGTCTCTATTATTGTAATGAGAGGGCTGGGGAATATAGCTTAGCGGTCCGGCGCCTGCTTGGCAAGGGCAAGGTCCTGAGTTTGATTCCCTTGAAAAAAACAAAACAACAACAAAAACCCCGAAAAACCCAACTATTATACTTAATGTAATGAGAAAGGAGATACATTTGCTTTAGTCGGTTGTACTGGGAGATGGATAATCATTTTTAATATCTTAAGCAAGATTCAGAGCAGTATTTTTAATATTTCGAGCAAGAATAGTCCTTAACTTTTTAATTTTTTTTTCTGATAGACCTTATGAATTTTCAGTTTAAAGACTATCCATCAAAGCAGGTACTGTATGTTTTGTCCATCAAAGTTTTGAAGTCTTAAAGTCAGTTGAGACATACAGTGTCATCAGAAGTAAAGTGATAATTAGATTTTAATTAAAGATATTATAGTGTATCTATTATTGACTAAGTATTTTAAAAATCTGGTAATGTTTTGTTTTAAAATACACACCTCTCAATTAAAATTTAAAGAAACCTGGGCTTTATTAACAAAATGTTTGACTTAAATACTCTTGATGCCTGGATTTTTTTTTTTTAATGCTGCTTAAAGGTCATTATGAACAAAAATGAGATACCACTAGAACTCTACCACCTCTTCTTTTGCCATTTGCCTCTGACTTCTCACCAATCTTTAGCCAGTTGTTAATGATGCAATTCATATCCACAACAAAATCTTATTTTTAGTATTTCTTTATTTTTGGTACAAGAAATCAGACTCAGGACATTTCACTTGTCAGGCAGGCACTTGTGCTGCTGAGCTATCTTCCTTGTCAATTTTTGATATTTTATATGATTATAATTGTAATGTATTTATTTGCTCAGTATTACAATTTTATGATAACAGAATATGAAATAATTTTTTACAATTTAGCTCTGTAAATTTCAATTTTGTGGTAGGGAAATGTGTTAAAATGCTTATTTTCAAGGAAAAATATGTTAAACTTTTGTAGGAAGTGAAAAGAAAATATGAATTCAGCACAAAGGGGTGATAAGCAAGTTTTTAACTGTAAAAGAGTTTGTTCATGTACTTTTCAAAAGAATAGGTGATGGTAGATAAGTTACTATGGTATTTGTATTCCATTTATAAAAGAGACACACTATAGACTTCTCTCTAGCATCTAGCCTTGCGCTAGGCATATAATTTTTCAACATTAATAGATCTTTGTCTTGACATGCTTTTTCAGCCAACAGTAATTAATTTCTGACAAACTTTCTTCTAAGTTAAATTACCACTATTTGCAGATGACATGACCCTCTATATAATGACCCCAAAACTCCACCAAAAGACTTCCAGATATTATAATCACATTCACTAGCAGAGCTGGACACAAAGTCAACACTCAAAAGTCAATAGCATTCCTTTATACAAACAACAAATTCACTGAGAGGGAAATTAGGGAAACCACACACTGCTTGCTAGCATCCAAAAAATGAAACCCTTAGGAATCAATATAACAAAGGAAGTAAAAGATCTACATTGAAATTACAGTATTTGGAAAATGATGATTGAAGAGGATATCAGAAAATAGATATCCTTTGCTCATGAATGGGAAGAACCAACATATTGAAAATGGTTGTACTCCCAAAATTATTATAAAGATTTCATGCCATCTCAATCAAAATGCCATTAACATACCTCACAGAACTAAAAACATTTTTAAAACTCATTTGGCACCAGAGAAGACTAAGAATAGCAGAAAGCAATTCTGGGTAACAAAGGCAAGGCAGGAGACATTACAGTTCTGACCTGAAATTATGCTACAACACCATTGTGATAAAATTAGGATGTTACTGGCAAAAAGACCTGAGGATCAGTGGGACAGATTAGAAAATGCACAATACAAACACACTCGGCCATCTTATCATTGACAAAGGGGCAAACATATTCACTGGAAGAATAGATGGCCTCTTTAATAAATGATGCTGGAGGGTCAGTGAGATAGCGAACTAAGCACTTGCTTAGGCAAGTGCCGGGGCCAGGGTTCAATCCCTGGCACCACATGCCATGCCGCCCCACCCCCTAGGTATGCTGAGCCTGGGATGGAGTCCAGGCGTGCTGCTGCATGCCTGTAATCCCAGCACTAAGGAGGCTGAAAACAGGATCAGTACAAGTCTGAACTGTGTAGTAAGAACTTGTACACACACACACACACACACACACACCCCACACACAAAAACCTAAAAAAAAAATGATACTGAAAAAACTGACTTTCCACATACTGAAAGTTAACACTAGACCCATGTCTAGCACTATGCTCTAAGGTAAAGTCAAAATGGATCAAAGATCTAAATATTAAAATAGAACCATTAAATCTACTGGAAGAGAAAGTAGGTAGAAATTTTGAAGACATACGTGTAGGCAGAGAGTTCATGAACAAAACTGAAGCTGCCCAGGAAATACTTCAGTGAACAAGTGGGATTTTATTAAAAAACACATCAAAAGAAATCGATAGAGTGAAAAAGACAATCCAGGGAGTGGGAAAATTTTTTTAGCACATTGTCCCTTAAAGGACTTATATCTAGAACATATAAAGAATTGATAAAAGTCAACCCCCCAAAAAATTCCAAGACTCAATTCAAAAGTGGGCATATGAGATGAATAAACACTTCTAAAATGAAGAAACACAAATGGCAAATAAGCGTATGAAAAAGTTCAACATCACTGTTCATTCAAGAGATGCAAATTAAAACACTGAGATTCCACTTCATTCCATAAAGAAAGGATATAACCAAGAAATCAACTAGTAACAAATGCTGTGAGAAAAAAGGAGCTCCTCTTCACTAATGATGGAAGTGTAAACGGGTACAACCACTACTGAAATCAGTGTAGAGATTCCTCCAAAAGCTGGGATTAAAGGCCTCGTTTGACTCAGCTATTCACCTTCTGGGTATCTTTCTAGAAGAATTAGAAACATCATACCATAGTGCCATATATGCATATTTATAGCAGCACAATTTGTAATAGCTCAGTCTTGGAAACAACCCACATCCAATCAACCAAGGAATAGATTTAAAAGATGTGATATTTTATATGATGGTACTACTGAGTCATAAGAGACCTTTACAGGTAAATGGATGCAATTGAGACCATACTCATAAATGAAATAAATCAAACTTATATGTGTAAACATCATATTGTCTCCCTAGTGTGAGAAATTGAAATTAAGGTCTAAAATTTATATAGTAGATATTTTGAAATGGGAAGAAATTGTTTAAAAGGTGAACACGAACTAGGGTGGAGGAAAAGGGAAAGGAAGGGAAAAAGACAGAAAAATTTAAATTAGTTATATGGCTAATGTCTATTAGGTCATAGAAAAGGAAAATTTGTGCTAATATCGATTGGGGTATTTTGTATGACCACATCTTGTACTCAGAGTAATTACTTTGAAGATAACAATATGCAAGTATTAATTATTTATTATTAATTTATTATTATTAATTATTTTTATTAATTATTATTATTTTTTATTGTTATGAAATTTTGTTTTACCTTTCTTATAAGAATTTTCTTCTTTTACTGCAAATAAAACATGGATATATTTTGTTGTTGTTGTTGTTGTTGTTGTTGTTGTACAGTGCCTAATAATGCATTGATATCTGGAAGAAGCATGTTAGTGAAGAAAAATTAATGATCCTAAAATGATTTTTATGTGAAGAATAAAGAGAAATATGAAAATAACCAGCAAGAAAACTACAAAGAACCCAGAATAGTGATGATTATGCAGTAAAAGAGCCAGAAGAAATTTCTAAGTTTTATTAAGTAAATAAGAACAACCTTGAGACTTGACAGTTGTACTCTTTTGTTAGTTGAGATATAAATGCATTCAATATAAATAATATTCACATTCTTTAGTACTTGCCATGCTAGACATACTTCAGACATTGTAATAAGATAAACAAAATGACTTTTTGAAACAGGGTCTGGCTCTGCAGTTCAGGGTGGCTTTGAACTCACTATGTAATTTAGGCAGACCTTTAGGCAGAGCTTAGAAGCTATCAGAGATCCTCCTTATTCAGCCTCCCGAGCCTTGGGATTATAGGTATGCACCACCATGCTGAGAAAGATGACTTTTAAAGATAAGGAAGTAAAATTTCTCCTGGTGAAGTCAGTCACATTGACAGCGACTTAGGTTAAAAACATGGCAAGAAATTGCTTTCCACTTTTTTCTCAAAATTTCTATAGGTGCCTATAAAGGAAATAAA